TGGACGACGTGAACACAGTCAATGACTTGGAGTATCCATCCTCTGAAGAGCTAACTTTGGAATGTTCATCGGACGAAGAGAGTGGCTATCGCTTCCCTGAGTTTTTTTGTTTTGTGGCAGCAGTACAAATGTTTTTTTTCTTGCCTGGAGTCTTGTTATATAGCTATATCATCCAACAATTTGTTATGTAATGCATAGTTATGAAACTTATGTATATTTTTTGATAAATTATATGGTTTTTTTAAGTAGTTGATGGAGAGTTGACAGTGCTAGCGCTATGAGTGCATAAATTCTGTTCGCTGGGAAAAACGCAGAGCTAAAGCACTGTGTTTGCAACGCTTGGGCGCTACCTTTATGCATTTTTTTCCTTCATATGTGACATCTGTATATTTGCTAACTAGATAAGTTTGTAAAGATGCAAAATTTGACTCAGCAACCAAGTCTTAGGACACATGAACCCGGGCATCATATCCTATCACAAAAATACAAGGTTACTGAAATTCCCTTCACATTTAATAGCCCCAAAAAGTTGTACATTCCATAGCTAGATCTTTGATCAAATAAACAATGCCCAAAAACACGATTTAGTAGACTAACGGGTAACCTAAAATGAGACCCAAAAAAGTGGTCGTTTCATTCAAGTATCAAACTGCCCATGTGTACGGACAGATTGCAAAGCGGCTGCTGGTCCAGATCTAAGCTTCACTGCATGCATGTCTCCCGCAACCGTAGGTGTCGGTATGAACTACATTTGATGTTCGTCATGCGTGTTTACGATCGATGATCCCTTACCCCTTGTAGTGAACATTTTTCCCTATACAATCAAATAAACACATCAAACCTGAATGCTTATGCTCAGATTTCATGAAGAAGTTAAAAACAAGAGCTTGATGTCTACTTACTGGTTTATTAACTGCTAGATTGCAATTGGTCGCAACTGGTTGTAATTCGATTTCTAACCAGTCCTGGTTGATAAAAAGCAATTAACAAAAAAAAAATTAATCAATTATCATATCAAGACTCGTGTGCAATAAAAGTTAATCACTGGGCGAATCAACTTGGGTTAGGTTGGGTTTATTAAAATTATTTTTGTTTTTGGTTTTGATTTTTAATTATTTGTTTGAGACTCATTTGTAATTTTTGAAAAAATTGAGTCTATGGTTGTAATTAGTTCTTTATTATTTTCTTTTTTCTTTTTGTTTTATTTAAATAAAAGGGTAAATTTGTTATTTCACATATTTTTATAGAGAAAATGGATTAAAATTGAGAAAAATGATGTTTTCCTCAATAAAACGTGAAAATAGGGGTGAAAATGTAAAAAATTGGAACGTAAGGACGTTTTGCACACTAAAGACCAAATTTAAGGACGTTTTGTGCTAATAAACCTTTATTTTATTTTTACTTATGTTACATATTGAAATTATAATTTGTTAGTTCACGATTTTTAAAACAATATCATGTATAGCATAGTTCTAATTTAGGTTTAATTCTAGTAATTATGTGGATTCGACTGTTTGCATTTATAAAATACTCAAAATATAATAAGTGATTTGATTATTGAAGTACTCGGGTCGACCCACTTGACGCCCATACCTAACTCCATTGATTAATAGACTGGTTGATAGGTTGTCATTGACACTGACTTGTTAATTTATGAAATTAATCATGCAGCCTATAATGAGGCTGAAATTCCTCATTTCACACACAAGGGGAAAAACACTTATTTTTTGGTACGAAATATTCCCTTTTCCGTATGCCCAAAGTTTTCTGGTTCTTACGAATCTTGACATAACAATAGTGTTAAAATAAAATTCATTTAAGTTGGTGTAGAAGTTTAATGCTTAGAGTGTGTTTGGGAGAAATTTTTGTGGAATTTTAATTAAAATTATATCCGTTAAAGTCAATCATGGGCTCCACCTGTGAGAGGGAATGTCAAAAATGGTGGCTGATTTGATAATTAACGACTAGATTTTTGATTAAAATCCTGATTAAAATTTCTCTCTAATAGGGTCTTATTATAATTACTTTGTATAGAAGTTGACTTGGGATACGGTGGAGAAAGAAGATATTTTTAACGGCTAGATTTTTGATTAAAATCCTGATTAAAATTTCTCCCAAACAGGGCCTTAATTTCTATTGGTTTCATCATTTTGTCATATGAGACAGATTATAAATAAAACTTCAAGCACTTACAATGAATCGACGAATCTGTTTTAAGGATACAATACATACCCTCTTTCATTTTTTTCTTTTTTTTTTTTTTTTTTTTTTTTTCTACATTTTTTTTTTGATAACCATTAATAATGTCCAATAAACCATGAAAAAAAGATAATGTGAAAAAATGGTTTAAAATTGAATACTGTAAAGAAAAATATTGT